GGTCCATCTTGTGAATTCGATTTCTCCTGATCAGTTCAATCGATTTTGCTCAAACTTCTTTTGCAAAGACTACTATCCTAGTACTACATGCCAATGTGATCAGAAATTTGGGATCTTGAAATTTGCCCTAAAAATGATGAACCTCAAAATACTGATATTTCTCTGGTATCATAGAGCAAGTGGGACCCGTGTGGTTTTGAGAAAATTCAGAAAGCAAAGACCGTTTGGCCTGAAACTTTCAGCAATTATAGAGGTCAATAATAGTAATAAGTTCTACAATTTTCAGCCTGATCAGTAAACATTTGCCTTTATTTCGATAATTCGCTCTTTAGTCATTATCAATAGTCTCAAAGTTCACTATATGAAAAAGAATGATTTCACAAATTATTGAACAGTTCTTATGCAATTTATTATCAATTAATATATTATTCATTGTCAGAATGATGTGAAACGACATGTATACTATTTCCTTTTCTGAGTATATATAATCCAGTGACAAAATATTTGCCTCTAAGACTCGATACACATTGGCGGACAAAACGTTATCGATAAATAGAAAAAGTTTCTATAGTAGATTTATAAACATATTGGCACAGTATAAGTTACGTGGCAATGCTAAATCTGTTATAAAGAGGACAATAGCCATTTAATTCACTTTCAAGATCATATCAAGATACTAATGACCTTATTCGGTGCACTACTTATATATTCTTCAGTTGAAGCTTGAAATGTGCAAAAAGTTTAGATATTCATCAGTCATCAATAATAGAATACTGTGAAAACAAGTTATATGAAAGAATGAAAAAACTCATAAAAAATTTAACAAAAATATTTGACTATTGTCTTGGAAGACATCATGATTTCTCATTAAATACTCTATTTTTAAATGTGAAAATTTGATTTTTTATCTAAACACAACTTCCTTTCTGCAATATTATAACATTCAGTTATAATTACATTACATCTTTCGATTCATCATATTATAATGTGACCATCATGTAATGATTTCAATGTACAATGCCTAGTATAGGATATATTTAAACTTTCAATGATTTGTTTAAGATTTCGAAGGAAAGTTATTTATAGGGTTTAGTTCAGTGGAAAATTTCTTATCGAATAATATATTAATTGATAATCAATTGCATAAGAATTGCTCAAAAATTTGTGAAATCATTCTTTTTCATATAGTGAACTTTGAGACCATTGATAATGACTAAAGAGCGAATTATCGAAATAAAGGCAAATGTTTACCGATTAGGCTGAAAATTGTAGAACTTATTACTATTATTGATCTCTATAATTGCTGAAAGTTTCAGGTCAAACGATCTTTACTTTCTGGATTTTCTCAGAATCACATGGGTCCCACCTGCTCTATGATACCAGAGAAATATCAGTATTTTCAGATTCATCATTTTTTGGGCAAATTTCAAGATCCCAAATTTTTAATCGCATTGGCATGTAGTACTAGGATAGTAGTCTTTGAAAAAAAAGTTTGAGCAAAATCGATTGAACTGATCAGGAGAAATCGATTTCACAAGATGGACCCTTTTGGGCCTATATTGAGACTAGGGTTAGAAATGGGGATAATACTTTTTAATAACATATCTCTTATTACATAGCCTGGTTATGTTCCCCATGTTGAGATCTATCTCTGGTAAAAATTTCAGGCCTCTATCACATTCTGCTGAAGAGATATTGTAATAATACTGATGGTTGCCGGCCACCCAAAAAAGATAAAAAGGCATTTTGAAGCTTTTTAGTCGGTATTTTGTATCTCAGCCAAAATTCAAGCTTTAGGGCTAAAAATTTGGATTTATGCCTAAAAAAATGTCCTCTACAAGATGGGCTAATCACATCTCGATATGCGATTATCGATTGAGCACCTATATTGGAAAATCGGTTGTCCTTCTCGTGCAGTGGCTCCTAAGTAGATTAAACATATTCAAGTCAAATGAACTATCTTACTCTACCTGAACTTCCATTGTTAGTTTCGATTTGCGTATCAGAACAATGAAAGAAACTTAACATTCCATTGAACTATTTCATTTTATTTTCAATTCAGCAGTTTAAGTTTTACTCAACATGGAAATCTACTTAGCTGTTTATCAATGCTTTACATGGCTGAAAACACGTAAAGTAACTATCTTAGGTCAAAAAATTGTATACATAAAAGAACTTATCAGAGTTCATTAGCGCTTTTTCCATTAAATAAACTCATTTCTGACTAAGTAGAGATATTTTGATGATTTCATGTTGATATCTTACGAAAAAAAAACGTTCACCATCAATTTTTTCTTCAATGTTGTTTTTTTTAAATTTATCATTGCTTTATATTTTGTTTAATGCTTAAGTTCAAGTTTCGCAATGAAAATATAATGGATATGTCAAGATAAGTATCTCACTACATATTTACTCAATACAGAGGTTAAAATACATCACCAAGCCTAAATTTGTCGTACGTTCACCACATGAGAATAATTTCAAATGATTTCGTTCGGAAAAATAAAAGTTCTATACTAGTTCCTGATAGTAATTGTGAATACAATATGAATAAATCAAATTTACTCGATAGACTGCTAATTCTTATAATATCAGATAAAGAATTAAATGTTACTTTTAATGCATAGAATAAGCATTGACACTAATTCGAACTTTGGTATAAAAAAAAATCATTTATAAAATAGTTATTACTAATAAATTGTTTATTCAGTACGATCACAACTAAATTTAAAAAGTATGTATTTTTAATTTGATTCCATTAGCATTATAATTTTTGCATCATGATCAAAATCTAGTAGGCACAAAATCGATCAATAAAAAATTGTCAATTATTTCTAAAGCATTTATACGATTTTATATGCGCATGTATGCTAATAGTAGTGTAATAATCTTCAATATTTTCTCTAGTACGTTTGACTACCTGTCAAAAAAATGGTTACTAATACCTTATCACAAATCTGACAATAAATATTCAAATAGTTAATTGGCACATTAACCAACTAGATAGAGCGTCATGATTAAATTGTGATAGCATCAATCATAATCATTAATGGAAAAAATAAAAAAATAAAATAAATTTTTATGAGAGGTGAATGCTTAATTTTGATCTATGTAATTGATGATTGAATCGATTTTTAAGAAGTACTCATGACGAAAATTACGTTGTTAATTATTGCCTAGGCAAAAATCAAAAGGCTTTGACGTCAATACTTTTTGTTTACTTCTACATAAACCACTCATCCATATTATAGAAATAGGTATTATCATAGCAATGATAACGTGCTTCTATATATTTACCTTGTGGTTTTGTGTTAATTCGAGAAAACACAACGATGTCGATAATATCAAAAGCTTGAAAAAGATATTTTCTAGTTAAGTTTCTATATAGATTGTGTTCCAGAGCAAGAAGTAAATTTATACATTGAATTGTGATAAAATACTTTGAATTATACGAAAATCAATTCATAACTGTGTATCTTTTATTCGTATGAATGAATGGTAGTTATATATTTACTATAAATCAACATTATAAATTAATAACACCCATCGAAACAAATAAATATAGCTTAATTTGATGCAATTATAATTGTATTATAAACGATTAAAAAAATAGTATATATCATTTCGAATTGTCATGTAATTAATGACGAACAAAAAAAACTTCAGCATGAAATCGAAATTAATAATATGCTCTTACTAGAAAATATGCGTCGTGAGATTCAAGTCGAATCAAAACCACGAACAAGAAGGAAAGAAGAAAAAAATGGTTTTGGCAAATTACAACATATATAAGAATGGAACATAAATTATTTTGTGATGATTTATGAAAAAGAATCATAGTCAATGTCAAAAATTTTGCAATAGTTTTTATTTTTCGTTCACAAAAGTATAGAAATAGACTATTTAATCATGATTGATATGACTGAGAGGCTAGTCTTCTATCTAAAGCTATGATGAGTATTAGTTCTTCGAAAGATTTAAAGAGACTAACTCTACAGATGGTCAGCTGCTCATACTTCAAGACGATCAAATCATTCCTCTTTCTTCTTCATTAATAGATTCATTTCTTCAAAGATTGGAGCTTTAAATAGAAAATCTACACAGAAAAATATGCCTATTAGTTTTTAAAATTTTATTGATTGATCACAATAGAAGTGCTTCTTGAGACGTGGTCCACTTAAATGTAAAAAGGAATTCAGAATCTTCTATTACAAAAAGGGGTTGAAACATTCTCACAACGGTTTTTTATGATACAATGAATTGTCTCACGATGAGTCGCATGTTTTTCCGTTCAATTTTCTTCATATGTTACAAGCTTACACACAATATTTTAATCGTCCTTGCTTGTTATAATACTAGAAAATACTTGTTTTTGGTCTATTGTTCAAAGACAAACTAAAACGTATATATAATTAACAAAAGAAGCTAATCAAATTTACCATTATTTTTGAAAATAAAGAATTCAACTTCATAAACCTATTATTTAGTCTTGATATCCTCTTTTCACTGAAACAAACTTAATTTTTTAATGAATTTAATTATTGCTTTTTAGTATCTCAAGTAGGGAATAGATTTATTTTTATTTCAAAGTCGTATTTATTGATACATCGTAGTTCTCATTGAATAATAAGCCGATTATGTGTCATCTATACATTTTAATGATCCAATAGAAACTATCGGAAACAGAAGTGCGGCCCGATAACTGATGAGCCCAGCAAGGGTGTGGGTGTGGAGTGTGCGTGTGAGTGTGAGTGTGAGTGCAGACATACGAAAAGATAACATCACACCCACACCCACACCCACACCCCACGCCCACACCTACCCACCCACACATCCACACCCACACCCACACCCACACACCCACACCCACTCACCCACACCCACACACACCTACACACACCCACACCCACACCCACCCACACCCACATCCTAAATTACTTTTTCTTTGAGAATGTAAAACGAGATAGATATCGACCAACATCATTCAAAGTCATTTTATTCTATTGCACATGGCAATCAACTTGTTGATCATTCTCGACATCGCGTTTAACTTTCACGCCAGCTACAAATTTTGGTCCTTGTAAAAATTCTACTGGAAATTTCTTTCGAATAAACTCAGTTGCTGATTTATGAAATTGTTCGTAGAAATCGATGAAAACTTGATCCTTTTGTTCAGTAGATAAACGAACGTAATTCGCTTGTTTCTTCAGAACGATCATGTCGAATCCATGAGTGTACAGTTCCAGAGTCTTTTCAATCTCAGTCGCTGTTGGTCGATGTTTCGGATCATCGGCTGTGCATCGAGTAATAAGATCTCGAAAGATCGGACTCTCTTCCTTGAAAACAATTTTCTCTGTGACTCTTTGTCGAAAAACATGCTGGGTTTCAGTAAAAAGTTCATTTAAAGTTAAGCCAAATGTGAAAATATCCAAATTTTGATCATAAGTGCCCTCGTAAAATTCTGGTGGCATAAAGGGCTGACAACCAATCTGCGTATGTCGATTCTGTGGATCTGTAACGCGTGCAATACCCATGTCACCGATTTTACAAGTATATTGTTGATTAACCAAAATGTTATCCGGTCGAATATCTCGATGAATCATGTGATGATCATGAATCTTTCGCATTCCACTGGCAATCTGTCTAGCCATGTGAACTTTGCGACGTAGAGAGATTTTACCTTTTTCCTTGAGTACATTTGCTAGACTGCCACGTGCCATATATTCCGTAATGATCATGTAAATTCTTTTGTTATTCTGTCGAGTCATGGCATATCCATATGTTTGAAGAATGTAACCACCTGACAGTTCTGTATAAGCAGATAGTTCTTTGAAAAAGCTTTTTTCCAAAGCAAAGATCTGGTTGGTATCAGGCGCAAAAATTATTTTGCATGCCACCTCGCGATTTTTCGATATCCATCGTGCCTTGTGAACAGCACCTTGAAAAAATTCAAATGTCAAAATGGTGAAAAAATGAATAGCACTTACCGAAAGCACCACTTCCTAATTCTTCACCTAGTTCAATGTCATCCACAGGTATCTGTACGATTACCCGATGAGAAGTCAGAATCAGTGGATGCATTAATTTATGATCTTTTGTTGTGACGTATGTAATGGAACATTTTTCACACAAGTCATAATTTGGACACGTATCACATTTGAAACGTAATCCAACAAAGTTTGATTTCATACATCCATCACAGGTGATCGACTCGTTTACTTCTTTGGCATAGAATTGTTTGAGTTTCGCAAAGGTAATTTCGTCATAAGTTACAGTTCGACCGAAGAGTTCGTTTGGTATACGAAAGTGAACAAGTAAATGTCCACTTTTATGTTGCTTAGATTCAATACGACGCTCAAAACATCCAGCACATAGATCAAAATTATCACATTGCAAACATTTGTAACAATCGCCGCGTATTGGAGTATTCCCACATACGTCACATGTAAGATTGTGCACTTCATTGCCGTCGTTATCATCATCATTACCATTTTTTACTCCCTGAACAAGTAATTGTAAGGTTTGCAGCATTACAACCATTCGAGCAGCATCAGAAGATTTCTCATCTTCCTCACCTAGAAGTCGATTATTTTAAACATGTGAATCTTTTTCTCAAAATTGATCTACTAAAATAGAATGGTCATACCAGACTGACCTTCGGAGTTAGTTGATGTATTAGTGCACAAGATTTTGTCATTATTCATTATCGTTGATGGTGATAGGTCTGTTGATAAAAGAGAAGTTACTTCATAAAACATACATAGCATATTATCTTACTCTTGTTCGCTCCTACGGCTTCTTTCATCAAAATTCTGGGAGTGACATTGTCATGCAGCATTTCACAGTCTTGTTTTGTTCCTAGAGAAAGTCTTTTTTTAAAGACAACTTCAAATATGCACTAAAACTCATCATACCTTTCGAGATGACAGTTCCTCGACGTTTTTTACCATTACTTCTAATAGTGTACACTTGAAAGGTTTTAATCACATCAGATGATGCTTCAATATATTTCTGAGCGACAACCTCCAAGTTATCATCATCCAACCAACGAATGACACAGTATTCATCTTTAGTCTGCTTCTTGTGTCCTTTGATTAGAAGAAAAAATATGATCCGATCAATAGTCCCATTCGAATGTCACTTACCACACAAAATACTCGAAAACGCATTTCTAAAACATGCCATGGTTACGTATATAGACGTAGTAATACTATACGCTAATATAAAATATTTTATTTTCGCAGTTGTAAAAAGAAATGCAACGTCACTTTAAAGGTGAGTAGTTTATATATACGTGCACATTGCTTTCTTCTAACGTGAATAATTTTGATCCTTCTTGTATTCATCTTATGAATGTTTCTTCCCCTCCCCCCTCCAATTTTTTGTTGCTTGTTTATCGTAATGCTGTAAGCGTGACACAGGAAGATAAATTTGTTTCTTTTTAGTTTTGCTATTTCATCGTAGTCAATAAGCGTGACGCAGAAAGATAAATATGCAACCGGTGTTTTTTTTTATTTAGAGAACTGTTGTATTTATTTTGGCTGCCGGGGAAGCACAGTTAGAGAAGCAGCAATAAAATAAAAGAAAATTATTTTTCTAAGAGAGAAGCCTGTTTTCTATTGACACATCTAAAGTCCATTGTTTTTCTGTAGGATTAATAAAATAGATATCGATTTTGAAAAGACTACTATACAATACTAAGACATATAAAAGCATCAATACACTAGATCCCATAGTGAGACTAATTTGAGAAAATAGTCACACCAGAAGAATTTACTTTTTTTTTTATAATGTGATGTAGTATCGATCAATCATGTCTGTATTTCTCAGTCTATTATTTCATGTTGGTTCATCACTATGCAACTCTATTTTTTCTATATTAAGGATTCTATCTAGAAACCGTAAATTTATTTAAAGATGTAAATAAAATGAGAGAAGTCAAATGACTCAAAAGTTTGATTTTGAATTTAGTCAAGAAGATGTTTATTAAAACTAATATCGAGAATAAACTTAGTAGAACACATAGTAAATCGGGATTTCAAATTTGTACCTCTGGCGTTTCGTCAAAATAAGAATAATATGTATGTTTCGAATAAATTTTCTTAGTGCTTTGTCACAAAAACATAATTTATTACAGAAGAAATTATCTATTCAAGTACCTCCTATGTTGATAGTTTCTCGAAACTTATAAAGTCTAGATCTTATCGCAATAATACCTAGAAATTAGGAAGAATGTTTCATTTAGATTAGATACATAAGTTCTAGAAAAGCAGAGAAGATGTGTGTTACTTTCAAGAGTTTCTAAGAAAGTAAATAAATAATATTGAATCTCATCTTGCTATTAAAATGATAAAGATCTATTTCTATATTTATCTAAGTTTTATCAAGAGTTAGGTATATGCAGAAAACAAAATATTTTCAATAGTTTATGGAAAATGCACAAGATCTTTCTAGCATTATGGAATGCATAACTTTCTATAACAAAATTGCAAATATCGCTTATAAAATAGTTGAAATGCAAGATTAGAATTTCTTTCCATGCCTATTTGTATTTTATTATTGACATATGTTTGATGAGGTATAAAACAATGATAGTCCTGGGAAAAAATTCTGCAACACTTGAGAATGTTTGCAAAATTTTATATTTCGTTCGAATTCGGGTGTGGGTATGGCTGTGGCTGTGACTGAAGAGAAAGAATGTACTTCGACGCCCACAGCCCCCCATATCCACACCCACACTAGCGCACCGGCATGCACACTTACGTCTAGACGCTCAACAACACCCATCCTGAAGATAGTTTATCTAATCTATATTTGTTTTTTTTACCTTTCACAATATTTTTTTTAAATACATGAACGAATCAAAAATATTATTATTTTAATTCCTTATATTTTAACAGTTTAGACTGAATATCTAGAATTTTATAGGTTTTTTGAATTTTCTCCCATTTTCAAGAATCCTCTTCTCTCTGCTCTCATTACTTCGTGTCGTCTCTGGCCAGTGGTCACGGAAAGAGAAATAGACTCGATCAATAGCCAGGTCCTCAAGTAGTCGTTGTCGATCAACTCGATACTATCTGTGTGACTGATGTAGAGAAGGATTGAACAATGTTTTGGTCAAAAGGAACTACACAGGGAGTTTCCACTGTCGATGGGAATGGACAAAGAGCATAGTCGAATCAACTATATGGATCGATAGGTTTGCTTTTTGATCGTCATGGCAGTCTCTATGTCGTCGACTGTAATAATCATCGTGTCCAGCGTTTTCCTATGGAAAAGAATTATTAATGGTATTGCGTTTTTTTCTTCACGTCGTATTAAATAAACACGACTAATTGAATGGTTGTTTCTTTTTTGTTCAATTTGTGTGCACGATTAGGAAACACCTTGGTGGAGCCATAGCGAGAAGTAAAACTTCATACACGCACGAGAAGACATGAGTGTGGGATGTGAAAGAAAAGGACATATCAGTTCACAGCAACAGCCACACTCATCAATACCCACACGAGATGAATATATTTTTTCTGTCTAGCATTGATAGCTATTTATGACGTTAGGAAACATGACTATATACTCAAATACAGTCTATTCTTGCTCGTTGTTCTTTTTCTTATACGATCTTGAAGACTCCAATATTGTATATGAGTGGCATGAATAACCTTATATCATACCTAGCATGATCTATTTTATATGATATATATATGCATGTATAATTCCAATTATTCTTTGTAATTATAGAAAAGAATCAATGTCGCACAAATGAAAAAAAAAACTCACAACAATCATCGTTTTATAGGCCAAAAGGCGGTATGTTATGTCTTTCTAAAAGCAGAACATGATGTAGATTGAAATTCCATGTATAATTATTTCATTGCAAGTGCCATAATATCAAATTCTTTGATCAACGAAAGTAACACCTTGTTAGAAGATACTTTTATATAACTTTGTAGGTGGACGACTATAAAAGCTCAGCAAACTCTAATAGTCAGCATCTATTCGAAGTAGATCGATCTTAAATATAACGGATTTAATGACCAAAGCACTGTTTTTTCCCTGATGAGATTGAAAAAAGATGCTTTTCTGGTTCTCCATATTTCTTAGGAGTTACCATTTATTTTCTCATTGAAAATCAAACTCTAAACATCATCATAAATCTTCCCTCCGTCGATGCCTAAAAGCATGAGATTTTTACATAAAAGTTTGCTCAGACCAAGCCTCTTACTATAGAAAATTTCAAGAGTAACAAATGAAATTAATTGAAATTTAACGAAATGTTTATTCATGATAGTTAGTATCAACCTCTCAAAAAAGAGATTTTTAAATATCAATTATTTGCAGATATGCTTAATTAATTGTATTGGATATCTATCTGGTACTTGAAAAGTACTCTCATAAGAAGTCTTAAAACTATTATTTATTCTCTCCGTAGGTACAAGAATTCTTTTATACATGAATGCGTCGAAGTGCAACTCATTTCATTTATTGAAATCATTATTTAATTTTATATACAACACTGTCTGTATGCCTGGAGATGTAGGAATGCATTTGCAAAAATATTTCTTATCATCGTTATTTTTATTACAATTTGATCCCAATAAAACCAATAGTATGCCTTCATTAAATTAAACATTTCAAAATACACTTTTCTTGATAGAACTCAATGTAGAAATTGGATATCAGTCATTCTCTTCATTATCAACACCCACCCCTATACCCATCACAACATGAAATCATCACAAGACGGTAGAATTATACAGATGACAGATATTCTGAAAGATTTATGTTTAAATATCGTAAACAGTTTCAAATGAATTTTATACATGAAATGTTATTACAGCACATGATTTCGTCGTCTTCTGAGTCCTGGACATCAGAGCGTTTCTCATTGATGATGACCTCGGATTTCTAATAACAATATATCCTGCTCTATTCTGATCTGATAACAGCCTCTGATTTATATTATGTTGTATTTTTTTTTCACTCAGTAATATCTAAAATGCCATCGTAGCTATCCACTTTCTTTGTGGGTGTAATATACTGAAAAATTGCGTCCAAATCATGCACCATCGTATTAGAAATTTATTGAAAAAAAAATTCTAGCTCTCAATACTAATGTGATACGCGTAATTTTCATGTAATTAGACAATGTATTAAAATGAATATTTCCTCTGTCTGCGTCAAATATGATGAGAACACACCGCAATCTCGTTTCATCAGATAAATTTCACACGCAAATAAAGCATCAATTAGTGAAAATTAATTAACAAACAAATATTAAGATGAATATGAATTAATTGATTGAGAATAGTCTATTCAAGTATTGAATCCTTTCTTCATAGAAGAGCTTCATTTGATTGTTTTGATCTATTTAAAAAAATTGACATAATAATGAACACTTTCAAAGTAGTCTTGAATGCATTATTTTATTGAAGAATGAATTCCAGAAAAAAGTGCTACAAAAGGTTCGAAATGAGCAATGTAGAAGCCAATAATTCTCTTATTATTCAAACGTAAAAAGACATTAGATATGCTAAAAAAACATTCACATTGATTAATCCGATTTCAATATTTATGTTCTGCAATTAAACTGAATCTCCATCATATTACTAATGCTCTCGCTTTCATATAGTATGTTGCAAATGTTACGAAGGATTAAGTATTCTCTATCACATCATGATGCAAAAAATTTACTTCTATACGTATCTTGACAATCCATCGATCGATTCACATGAAAGATATACGAGATGAACACTCGACTCGTATCTAC